ATGGATTAGATCCGTGGCCTTGAAGTGGCACCTGCAAATGGTGAGGCACAGGGAGTGCCTGCAGCGTAGCCTGTAAATTCAGTGCCCAGCACAAAGGAGCTGCTTCCATCAGGGGCGCTCCCAAGGGCCATTTTCGTATAAGAAAATACAGCAGTAATTGAAGCCAAAGTCTCTGTTGTTGTCAGAAGAGGAGTTCCTCGTTTAAATTCTGAGACAATTCTAGGGGAGGAGTCCCTGGGTTTTACTGCTGTGGCTATTGGGAAAAGCTGTGTTGCAGTAATGCTCACCTTTCTGTCTTAATGCTTTCCACATCACTCACTGTCTTAAATTATATCTTACAGTTGTCTAGAGAGGCCCTGTGACCTTCTTTATTGTTTTATTTTATTGGATAATTGGGTGTTTGCACCGTTGTAGCCGTGCCACAGTAAAATACAGCAGATGATCGCTCTGCTTGAGAGCAGTGCAGTCAACAATAGTACTTACACAGGAGGCATTTCTGTGCCAACAGGTCAGCTTTCAGCGGGTCCTCTGTCTTTTTTCCATCCCAGAACTATAGCCAGTGTACAGAAGAAAAAAAAAAATCTATATTTTTATGTATTTGTGTATTTTTATGCTTTGGTTACCTAACTCAAGCGAAAAGTTAACAAATCTGCTCATAGCGAGAGGGCACAGGTAGTTGCAGCTGTATTTGTTCAGTAGCATTGAGATTAAACAGCGGTTTGTCACTGAGCTAGGCAGTGGTGCCTCCTAGCAGACAAAAAGCAGATACACTGAACGGATAATAGTTGTAACATCAAAATTATGTGTGTTTGTATTTGTATATATGTGTGTGTATGTATGTGTGGGTAGACAGACAGATACGGAAAACTAAATTTTGAATAGTAGCGACTCAAGCAAGGCACATACCTGGCAGGGAGCTCTACGCATTTAAAACTGACCACTTTTTTAAACCCAGCAGACACTTTCACAAAGAAAAGATGAGGTGCCTGCCATGCAGTCATCTACTCATGTGAATAATCTCACTGACGTCAGTGGGTTTTTTCACTCACGCGTGAAGGTGTTTTCAGGCTAAGTCATGTCTATTTTGGAGAGTCTTGCAGTAGCTTATTCTAAGATCAGGACTTGGCTCTTCCTTGTGGTGGTGAAGTTTGCAAGCCTATATTACTACTTTCTTTCCAGTCCAGGTGTGCAGTCATAAAGATGTAAAGAAGGATATTAGTCAAGGTTTGATTTACAGCATTTCCAAAGACAGTAATAAGGGCTCCAGGTTTTTCCATGCAAGAAATAAATAAAGTGGCTTGGTTATACTGGGAAGTGATGACAGCCACTGTCGATGAAACGGACTAAACCTAGCAAAGCAACATGTATGACCGATTTCTACTCTCACATAGGCCAGTACGAACTGAAAATACTCCATGTGACATGCCATTAATCCTGGTTAATGGAAAGAAGATCAGAATATAACTGGATATATTGTGTTTAAAGACAAGATACTGAAATAAGCAGCTAATGGACATACTTGAGTCCTTTTCTGACTGATAACCACGGAACATACAAGCTCTGTGTATGAGCTATTTTCTATGCATGCCTTCTGATACTATTGAGCATTGAGTAGACATGAAGGAGCTTATTCTTAAGTCTTCCTGGAGAAATAGGGGAGTATGGTAGTCTTATTCTTGTTTTACAGATATAAATTGAGGAATAAAAAACTTGCACGATTTGTTGTAAGGGCAAACAGAAGCCTTTACTAAAGGGGCAAGACCAGAAATAGAAACCAAATCTCTGCTTTTACAGCAAATGGAAAGTTAACGGTCTCGGTCCCTCTGCCTTCCAAATCGCACTGAGCTGGGGGCAGGTGGGAGCACGCCGGCAGTGTTGTAATGCTTTAGATCTTGTAAAGATACAGTCTGTGGGTTCTGTGTGCTGAGATTGGCTCATCTGCTGCAGTCAGTGTTTCTGTTTTGAAACTTCATTTACCACAGCAGAAACCACACTGGGAGGAGGGAAATTTAAAAAAAAAATAAAAATCGACAAAACCCCACCTTTACATGTTACTAGTTTAAAAATATTTTAATGCAACAGACAAATGCATGACTATTGCTACTTTGAAATGTGCTCAAGGAATATAAATGTTTTTATGCAAGGGTGGACAAATGTGCAAAGGTACAGGCAAACAAAAACCATTCAGAAAACCAATGGAAGTCATTTCCCTTGTCTGTGATGAGTTGGCTGCCTCTGGCCAGTTCAATTTGGTGACTATGGATTGGCCTGATAAGGCCTACACATTTTAAAACCCTTTAAAGGAAAAAGGTGTGAAAAGTGAGCTGTTAGGGATGTTGTTAGCTGTCCTGTACCTGATTCGGCAGTACCCCCGCCAAATTTATTACTACACGGTGTGAAGCCAGACTTATCAGATGGTATAAGAAAGCCTATCAAAATGGGGCTGGCAGTGACCTTAAGAGATCACCCAGTCCATCCCACTACCAGAAACAGAAACAGCTAAATTAGTGTCATTTCTGGCAGGCATTTCTCTAATCTGCCCTTCGCAACATCCAGCAGCCCTCCCAGGTGACCCATCCTCGTGTGTTGCTCCTTTTCCTACAAGGGGTTACTCCCAGTGCCTCCTTTCTTGTTGAAACTGAACTCCAGTCCTTTTCCTCCTTGTTCGTGGTGGACATGGAGGATAGATTATCCTTCTCATGTAAAGACTTACAGTGTTCCCTGCCACTCCTCCCCAGACAAGGTGCATCTCTGATAAATTTACCTGCTAGGGAAGCAGAGATCAAGGCTGATGGGCTCGACCACCATCTCCACTGGAAGGAGAGAGATGCACCCTGTCTGGTCCATCCTAACTCGAGAGATGAACCAACCTATGGAAGAGTTTATCTTCCTCTCCTCTTTATGACCACTGCAAAGTAGATGCCTCGCTTAGAGCCCAAGTTACCAGAGACAAATCTCCTCCTCATCTGCTATGGTCTTTGTGGTACAAAGAATGAAACTTGATGCATGGATGATTTCTCGTAGTCCATGTAATGCTGGTTTTGGCTTAGTAGCATGCACATTAGTGGTTTAGGAGCTTCTCTATTTTATTGAATAGATGTTGCAAATTTTGAGCTGTTTTATTCGCTCTCTTGGGCAGCTTCATCTTTACATTTGGATTAGTTTCACCTGAAACAGTTGCAGAGGACGTTTATTTTGGGGGAAGTCAAAACTTTTATTTTTTACGTTCGGTGTCTCCCACTTGGAAGCAAATGTTAGAGTAAGGCAGATTCCTGGAGGTCTCTTTCTGCTTGCTTTCACATCCCCTAACATCCTGAAACTTCTTTTATTTCATTATAATTGAGTCTATAGTTTGAGTTCTTGCAAGATGACTGTCACTGGGCATTTCTGTGTTCAAGGAAACGGGACTTTCTACATACTTTTTGGAAATAAACAAGCTTGCCCTAAGGACTATACCTGATGAAACTTGTTCTCCGACTAGAAAAATTTTGAAAGCCACTGAACACTAGCTAACTGCTAGAGCTAAAAGAAAGCAACATTAAAAATACCCTCTATAAACAGCCTTATGATCTGAAGATACAGATGCAGGCATACACCAGAGTTTGTTTTGAACGTTAACATACAGCTAGAGGCTTGGAAAACCCGGAGTTTCCACCGAGACAGTTTAAAGTAATTGGTCTCTACAGAATTACAAGGAGATTGTTTTAATAAATGTATTGCAGAGAAAAGCTTTTACTGTTTGGTTCAAAGACAGCTAGAAGTCAGCAAGTTAATCAAGAAAATGGTGGTGACTTTTACTTACAAAAGCAATTATATGTTACATGTAGAGGAGGATGAATACTGTTACTGTAGTAATAGTGAAATAGACTACAAAAAACCCTTCAGGTCTGCTTAAGGAAGTAACAAAGGTCAAGGTCTATTAAGTCACACAAGTTCCCGCTGTTGGTGTTAATATGCTTTATTTCCCCCTTTCTTTGTCTCTCTTATCTTAAGAACTAGAATTGCATCCCTGGAGGAAGAGCTTATGGGGTTTTGAAAAGTCCTGAAGAACCACAGATTCACTTTTTCTCTTCCCCATTATGCTTTTGTGGCCCCTCGCAATGAGAAGCTCCTTCCCAGCAGCTGCAGCTTCAGGGCTGGTCGCCCAGGGTTGCTCCCATGGGAGCAGCTCTCATTGCAGGAGGTGCTGGCAATTGAGTCACAGCTTGGAGCTTGGGATTCTGCCCCTGGGCCTACGGGCCTCCGTTTTGCAAGCGATTTAGCAATGTGAGCATCTCCATTAAGTTTGTTAGAGTAGGAAGACATGTAACTGGGTTCTTAAGAGCCCCAGATTTCCTTGCTTATTCATTTCAAAAGCTGGTGAAATGAACAGCAATTAAGATGAGTGACCTAACAGTAGGAGTCCACTTTTGACTTTCTGGAGAATCAAGGTAGATTAAAGGACACTGGGGCTATTGTGATCATCCAGTCTAATTCTCCAATATGAAGTCATACTGTTTGTAAAGTTTGTAAAGCTGTGTTTGCAGTAGACTCCACGTGTCTTTAAAAATACCTGGTTTGATTTTTAAAAGTCCACTCGGTTACAAGAAGAATTCTACTGAAGCATCAAGGATATTTTTACAATTTCCAGTGTTAAATTGTTCTGATATTCAAATACCTTTACAATTTTAAAAATGTGTCTCTTCTAGGCCGAACTTTTCTAGCTTTAGCTTTCAGTCCCTGGATATTTCCATGCCTATGTCTGTCATAAAAGGCAAAGCCATTTTTGCTAGAGAAAAAACGCATTCATATAGACGGAATTTGGGACTGCACTAGCTAGGGACACTTTTGGAAAAAAATTAATTTCCATGGCCAACAACCTTGTGCTTTTAATGATAAGAAAGGCAGTATGTAGAATTTTATGGCTTACTTATTTTTAAGTATCTTTTTTGGTTAACTTGGAAGCATATGGATTTGCAGATTCTTAGTGTGTGTTGTTCCTTTCTTATTTTCTTTCTCAGGAGAGTTGTATTGTTCTTTGCCCAACCCTAGGAATGTCCATTTTGAATCTGTAAACATGAAGAATGTTCTTCACTGGTCAGCACCAGAAGGCACAGGAGATGGAGTACGCTACAAGGTGAAGTATTCAGTGTAAGTTGGCTTGTTTATTTTATCCCCCGCTGACTTTTATTTTAGCACTTTAAATAATAATTTAAAAAATCTTTATGCTAGATAGGGCCATTAAAAAGTAAAGAAAGGAGAACTAAAATGTGGGTTAGCCTTAAGCAATATGGTTTTTAACTTTTACTTCTTGTACTGCTTACTTCAGATCCAGTTAAAAAAAAAATTATAAGGAGACTTTCTTCCTATTAAAGAAGTGTAGGATGCAAAATGGAAGCTTTCAGGGGTGCTCCTGAGAAATGAAACAGAAGGACGAAGAAGGACTATGCTGTGGATTGGCATCTGTACATGTTAGCCGTCTGTACGCATTTAAACAGATCTGGAGATGTAGTTTTTAATACAATAGTAACAGCACCCAGTGTTTCGCTGGTCTTTTCTAACAGACCCAACTCCCACAGATTTCTTCTGATCCTGCAAGCCTCTTTAGTCTAGGAGAAAATCCACTGCAGTTATCAAGTATTGTAGAAAACCAAGTAATGTGATTGGAATCAGGCCCTTCTATTTTCAAGGTCTGCACCTTTGTAGGATATCAAGGAATTTGAGTAAGGACCAGAATCCATCTCCTTTGTTCCCACTGAGAGAGCACTGGGTCATTCCACAGGACAGTGCTGGAAGTTTAGCTTATAAATAGGGGTAGCACTGTAGTCATGGATAATGTAATGCTCCCAATCTTTACCTCTAATATGAACACTTCCCTCAGTCTAGTAATTTTTTCATGACACTAAAACAAATTTAGATCTCCAGAAGTTTCCTGTAACTTGTACTGGCTACTAAAAAAAGCAAGGAGTTGCTTCTACAGTCAGAGACTGCAGTGTCTTTTGCCCAGACCTTGCGTGCTTTGCTAACAGAGGAGCGACATAGTCCACCTCCTGGAAAAGGGGAGAGTGCTCAGTGATTATGGAATGAACGATAATTATGTAGAAGGTAAAAATGCTCAGAAAGCACTGGCTATGCTGACTCTGCAGGGTCAGCTGGTCCACGGAAGAGTGTGTAGTCAGGTACAGCTGTCTCACACTGAAGACAAAAATATTCATACGTGCTTCTGCCTGCCTAGGAGTGCAAGGCCTTGAGCTAGGTGGAAAATGCTGGTGAGTGATACTGTTGTGCAGTCGTGTAGAAGTTGCCACATGCACTTACTAATTAGCAGGCAAAGGGGAATTCTTTTCAGCATAATGTGAATTTGAAGAGCAGGCTTCTGAGCAAATCCAGGCAGGAATTTTCCAAGGAAACCTTGATTTCTTCTACTAGCGTATAAGAGTTGGTCAGTACTGAGGCATTGCTGATGGCACGCGTATGCCTCTTTCAACTAGAAGGGTTTTGAAGTTCATTGTATTCCAATGGAGTCTTAAACAAGAAAAAGAAGTAAAAGTCAGCAATGAGTAGTCTCCTGTCCACTCATCTTGGAGACCTCGAGCATCATCTGTCTCCGTACACCAGGACAAGCCACTGACCATTCTGACAGAATTCTTTGTCTCTATATAAATAGTTATCCTGACTCTGTTATCCTACGTTTAGGGTTTAAACTAAAGCTGTGGAGACTGAAGTTGAGAGATCTCTGGTCTGTGTAAGCAAAACTGGACTTAGATTGGTATCAGTAGCATCCCAGATAGTTCCATATGGCCTCTTCTGGATAGGGCCTACTCTGATTTATTTTTCATTAAAAACTTGTGGAAATCTTGTGTTTTACTTCAGCTGAAGTTGGGAATTCCTTGAAATTGCAGATTTCTGCAGAACAAGCAAAGTGTTTTATCAGCTGTAATGTTAGTTTCTGTGCTGTATTATCAGGTGACTAATGCCATGGCAATAGCTTTTGTACAGCTCCTTTCTCTTTCTTTTTCAATACAGATACGGTATTGGCAAATGGATTCGAAAGCCAGAATGCAAGAATATCAACAGAACGTGGTGTGACCTCTCCAGTGAGACCTCTGACTACGAAGAACAATACTATGCAAGCGTTAAAGCCTTCCTAAATGGGATGTGCTCTGACTGGATGGAGACCACACGATTCAACCCTCTTACAGACAGTAAGGAAGGCTCATCACACAGCCAGATGTTCAATGGCCTTGATTAATACTGTGTGCTCAGACTGCATGTGTCTTCATAGCATATGATATTTTAATTTCAACATGAGGCTAGATTTTTTTGCAGTTATTTCACATTTATGCTTTTGGCAGAAGTAATTGAAATAATCATCTTAGAATTTGGATATATGTGTGTTATATATACGGTCTTACATAGACTGAATACATTTTTATGCTATGTTAAAGCTTTCCTCAAGGCAAATAAAAGCTGTGGCACATCCACAGTATAAAGAACTCTGATTTTGAAAAGGCTCTATTAAACCAAGCAGTAATCACACTCTAGAGCACAATATCTCTTATCTGTGCCAGATAATCTGAGAACATACTGGTAATTTAGCTTGTTTTAGCAAATTGAGTTTCAAGATTGTTTATCCTGCGAAGTCACAGGAATTCCTAGGCAAAATTCCAAGTCAGTGTTCACCTTCTCACTGTAAAGATCCTCTTAGTTATCTGATAAAATAATTTTCTACCCATATAAATGAATTGTTCAAAGTCCTACTTAGACTCTCAAAAACATTACAAAAATTTAGTATCATCCACTTCAAGAAACTGCATGGTCAAATCAGTGTGCCTCTGCTGCATTTGACTGCTTTTTGTAAATGTTCATTTTTCCAGCTAAAATTGATCCACCCATGGTAAGTGTATCTTCCACTGAGAAATCTATTTCAATCATTCTGACTGCTCCTGAGAAGTGGAAGGGAAGTCCTGAGGAAGAACCCATATCTCTGCTTCAAGTGTATCCTGGCCTGCAATACAATGTGTCCGTCCTCAACAAGAAAACAAAGAAGCGGGTAAGCTATGACAAGGCTGTAGAACTGTATCGGTTAAATCTCTGCTCTGTGCTTCCTGAAATCTGCTTTGTCTGTAACAGCAAGAATCGAAATAGGATTCACAGCCTTATAGGAATTGTAGGATTATTCAGGTTGGAAGGGAGCTCAGGAGGTCTCTAGTCCAAAGTCCTGTTCAAAGCAGGAGCTCAGACCAGGTTGCTCAGGGTTTGTGCAGCTGCATCCTGAAAACCTCCAACGATGGAGACTGCACAACCTGTTCCACTGCTTGACTGCCCTCTCGGGAGAAAAAGTGTTTCTTTATATCCCATCTGAACCTCCCTCTTTCAACTTATGGCCATTGTCTCTCATCCTCCCACCATTCAGCACTGTGAAGAGCCTGGCTCCATCTTCTTGGTGACCTCCCTGGGTCATCCTGGGGCTGCTGTTAGGTCCCCCTGAAGCCATCTCTTCTTTCCCAGGTGGAACAAGCTCCAGTTCCTCAACCTGTCCTCACAGGGCAGTGCTCCAGCCCCAGCCACATTGATGATCCTCTACTAAATCCACTCCAGTTTGTCAGTCTTTTTGGTATCAGGGGGAATAAAACTGGACACAGTATTCTAGACATGGTCTGATGAGCGCTGAGTGGAGGGGGATAATCCCTTCTCTCCATCTGCTGCCTCTTCTCCTGTTAACACAGCCCAGGATGCTGTGTGCCTCCTTTTCTGCAAGGGCACATTGCTGGCTCACATTCAGCTTGCTGCCTGTCCCCAGTCATCTTCGGCAGAGCTGCTCCCCAGCCAGTCAGTCTGCTGTCAGTACTCACAATACATCATGACAAAGTGCCACCACTTCTGAACATCTTCATTCATCTGTCTCTGCAGATTCACATTTCATTAGCAAGTAGTAGTTCCCAGCATAAACACAGTAGATGAGGAAGAGTTCAGTGATCAGTTACAGAAACATTCATTCTTCTGTTCCCATGTTCCAGGCACAATCTCTGTCTGGCAGATCTCTGAATTTCCTGAAGAGAGACAGAAATTTCACACGAAAAAAGGTCACCTTCTATCAAAGGGGATATTAATATGCCAAGATTAGCAATGTCCTGGTTTCGGCTGGGATAGAGTTAATTTTCTTCCTAGCAGCAGGCATAGTGCTGTGTTTTGGATTCAGTAGGAGAAGAATGTTGATAACATGCTGATGTTTTTAGTTGTTGCTGAGTACTGCTTATGCTAGTCAAGGACTTTTCAGCTTCCCATGCTCTGCCAGGTGCACAAGAAACTGGGAGGGGGCACAGCCAGAATAGTTGATCCAAACTGACCAAAGGGCTATTCCATACCATATGACGTCATGCTCAGTATATAAACTGGGGGGGGGTTGGCCGGGGAGCAGCGATCGCTGCTCGGGAACTGTCTGGGTATCGGTCGGCGGGTGGTGAGCAATTGCATTGTGCATCACTTGCTTCGTGTATCATTATTATTATTATCATTATTATACTGTTACTATTAGCATTACTATTTTACTTTATTTCAATTATTAAACTGTTCTTATCTCAGCCCAGGAGTGTTTCTCACTCTTACTCCTCCAATTCTCTCCCCCATCCCATCGGGGTAGGGGGAGTGAGCGAGCGGCTGCGTGGTGCTTAGTTACTGGCTGGGGCTAAACCACGACAAGCAATTAGAGGTATACAAAAGGGGGAGAGGTATACAAAAGGGGGTTTTGTTTTGGTATTTTTGTTTGTTTGCTTTTTTAATAAAGATGCTTGACATAGAGCAATTACTTGACCTTGAATTCCCAAGATCTACGTAACACCCGTTATTCTAAGGCTCCTATCTTTACCAGAATATCCCAATTTGAAAGATTTTGTGGAACTGTACCGTGTGCCTTTCATTGGCCTATGCATCAGGACAGGGCTGGAGTGATGCTTTAGCTCTATTGCAACATGAGCATGAGAATATGGGCTAGTGGTGGCACGCAATTCTACTTCATATAAAGCATGAAATTGTTCAGTAGTGGTAGAAGAATGATTGAATGGAAGATAAAATATTCAGAGAGGACATGACCTAACAAATAACTTGAGTTTTGATTGCATTTGGAAAGAAAGGTTGCAGCTGGCAGTTCTTACTGTATCATTATTCTTTCCAGAAAATTTCTGTGCTTGTGACACATTTTGTGTAGAATATCTTTACTTTTCTGTAAGTGAGGAGGTAGAGGGGAAAACCCCACTTTTTTTTATGTCTTCCAGTGGTTCTTCTCCGTCAGCAACACCACCTTGGTTGTGCCCTGGTTAGAATCTGGAACAGCTTATTGTGTCAGTGCACAGATATATGTCACCACACCACTTTTGCACAGTGGGTTCTCCAAAGAATATTGCATTTCTACTTTGAAAGGTATGTGTAAGCTGGCAAATTACAAAAAGAAGATGTGAGTTAGAAAAAAATCATGGTGATTGAGTTTACGTTTTTTACATATCCATTGTGAAAGTGAAAAGCTAGCATTGTTTCTCCCCTCTCTGTGCATTTGTACTGATGAAAAAGTCTTTGCCTTTAGTAAAACGAATCTGGGATCTACTGACTGGGAGGTACGACAGTACCTCTGAAGAAAAGGATCTGCATTCCTTGAGTCTTAGTGAATGGAGAATATTTTTTTTCTCCTTGAATGAGGTTTGGGAGTGGCAGAGCTGGGTCAGTCTGAAATTAGCAACAGGAGAACCTAGGGGAGGGGTTGTTACTTCTTTTTAGAATTTAATTTATAATTTAGATAATAATAAAGTTTGTCCTGTAGCTCAAATGTAATTTTTTTAAAAATTTTCTGCAAATTCCTTGTTTATCTAAAACATTTGCATCCCATATCCAAAAAGCAGTGTGGTGAATGGACATTTCTGTCTGAATACATTAAAAAGTTGCTCAGTACAATGAAAACTTTTGTTTTGTTAACAGATAAAACGGCAGATGAGATGATAACAATCGTATTTGGATATGTTCTGCCTATCATGCTGGCTGTCCTTTTTATTTCAATGATATCCTATTGTGTGCACAGGTATATTCATGTCAGCAAACAGAAACATCCAACAAACCTGGTAAGTGTTCTTTATTGCCGGATGATGCTGCCAACCTGGGCGCTCACAGCAGAGCTGTGTGTTTTCCGGGGCTCCGAGTCGGCTGGGAGGAAACCATGGCTAGCTGCAAATAAAAGCTCTAGTTGCCACTCAAATCAAGAAAAGAACATCACATTGAGGGTTATTAAATGCAAGGAAAACAGAGTAATAACTCAAGTTAGCAACTGTGTCTAAAAAGATGACCAGATCTAAAAAGATGACCAGAGCTAATGAGGACCAGAACAGAGCTGTTCGTTTAGTAAGAGTCATTGCCATAAGCAAGGTCTGAGGTGCACTGAGGCAAGTTCTGTTAGGAAGTCAGCACTCCCTAAATTTATCTATGAAAAAGCACAGTAGAGATTCGGTGAACAAAAGTTATTAATTGGTTGAAATCAGAAACAAGAAGAGAACATAATTAAGTAGTGCAGAAACCCCATGATGTTTTCTTGGACCATTACTGGGTATTACATTTTACCATTTAATTGTGACTGTGAAGGATTTAGCACATGTGCATCATACAGATAATTTAATCTGGATTTCAAGAATACTTTCAAATACTGCACTGTTTCCTAACACCCAAAAATGTACCAACAAATGCATTCTGTTATTTAGACAGCCCAAATGCACTTTGTACGTAAAAATGTTTGCAAGTTTCTTAAAAGCTGCAAAGTTTGTTAATTTTTAGAAAGAACACATAAAGTCTAAGAAACACTATTGGTTTCCAGCTCATGAGCCCAGCAGAGTTTTCTCACAGGTATTTCTAAACAAGTTGCTCGACCATAAACATGCAATTACAATAATGAATGAACACTTTGATGTTAATCCAATCTGCATGACATGAGAGGTATAAAGGAGTTGGTTTCAACATGCTGATCTTTCTGAAGAAATCTAGAGCAGCACAGAGGTGATAGGAGCAATGTTCACAGAGGGACTGAATACTTCATGAAAGGTTCGGAAGGAGTAGAGCAGCTACTGCTGCAGGGTGCTCAGATGTGCATGGAGAATCCTCCTGCACCTGCAAGGCACCAGCTTTATAACAGAATCATGGAATCAGAGTGGTTTGGGTTAGAATGGACCTTCAAAGATCATCTAGCCCAGCTACTGTGCCATGGGCAGGGGCATCTGTCACTAGGTCAGATTGCTCAAAGCCCCATCCAGCCTGACTTGGAACACTTGCAATGATGGGGCACACGCAACTTCTCCGGGCAACCAGTTCCAGTGCCTCACCACCCTTAGGTAAAAAGTTTTTTCCTTATGTCCAATCTAAATCTACCCTCTTTCAGTTTAAAACCATTGTCCCTTGTCACCACAGGCCCTAGTAAGTTGTTCTCTGTCTGTCTTGTTCTTTATTGTTTGTCCTGGGATGCAGGGCATGGTAGCTTGGTCTCCCTTGGAGAGCTAGCAGGACAGAGCTCTTTACAGTCAGAGAACATAAAGAGCTACTTAGTGGAAAAATCCCCACTCAAGAGCAGACTAAACTCCAGCTCCAGGAGTCTCTTCTTATATAAATGTATTGTATGTTGGGTTTTTTTTAATGTCCATTGCACTTTTTTGTGACCACCTTGAAAGCTTCAATATTATTTCTCCACCTCTGGGTTCAGTTCATGTTAAGGTAACAAGTAAATGTAGACTTGGTATTTTAATGATGCTCACTGCTTTTCCCAGCCTACAGACTATTCCACATGGGCACCCCATGTGGTCAGGGGCAGGTGGAATAAGCAGTTTGTTTTGGTCCAGCACTTCTGACCTGGGGGAGCTTTCGGACTACCTGGTACATAGATTAGTGGTCTTAGTCTTCCATTCAAGCTTGAAAACACTGAAGTACAGCTTCTGGTTGTTTTTGCATTGCACTTTCCTTTACTGACTGCTTATACTGTATTTATTTCTGTTAGAAATACTACTCATTTCAGAAAGATTCCTACTGTTTAACTAGATGATTTATCATAGAGTCACAAAAGCACCCTGTGACAGACTGCACAATGCAGGCTCCATACAGTGCACTTCAACCTTATCTGTAGCTTCCTCTCTGAAAGGAAACCTGATATTATTTAATTTTCTGTAAGCTATACCTTAACATGGTGCCCGACTCTGTGCTTGTGGGATGTGGTTTTGACTGCACTTCCTCTTCACCGGTTAAAAAGAGTAGAATAGATTCTGTAATCTGTGACCCAAGGACAACTCTCATGTTTTCTCCAAAGTCACTTGAGTTTGTGCTGGTGGAAACAAAACCAGATTTTGACAGAATTGTTCTAACCATTATTTTGACGTGGCAAAGATGAGAAAAGGGGAATTAGAGCTGGTCATGATGTAGTTTTAGTTTGGATAGAATTAAAAAAGTGGAGAATATTAACACTTCTGGAGGTTTATATGATGAACTTCCTTCTTCCTTAAATTGACATCTTGAATCGTAGTAAGGCCTAGACTAGCCTTATATTTTAAAAACGTGTAACAGTATAATAGAATAGAATAGACTATTTCAGTTAGAAGGGACCTACAACAATCATCTAGTCCAACTGCCTGACCAGTTCAGGGCTGACCAAGTTAAAGCATGTTGTTAAGGGCATTGTCCAAATGCCTCTTAAACCCTGACAGGCTTGGGGCATCAACCACCTCTCTAGGAAGCCTGTTCCAGTGTTTGACTACCCTCTCAGTAAAGAAGTGCTTCCTAATGTCCAGTCTAAACCTCCCCTGGTGCAGCTTTGAACCATTCTCATGTGTCCTATGACTCTGTCACTCAAGGTGACTCTTAAAGATTGACCAGCACTCGTGGGCTCCTAAGCCCTCAAAAGCAGATTCCCGGGTGTCCTGGTTTCGGCTGGGATAGAGTTAATTTTCTTCCTAGTAGCAGGCATAGCGCTGTGTTTTGCATTTAGTAGGAGAAGAATGTTGATAACACACTGATGTTTTAGTTGTTGCTAAGTACTGCTTATGCTAGTCAAGGACTTTTCAGCTTCCCATGCTCTGCCAGGTGCACAAGAAGCTGGGAGGGGGCACAGCCAGAATAGTTGATCCAAACTGGCCAAAGGGCTATTCCACACCATCTGACATCATGCTCAGTATATAAACTGGGGGGTGGTTGGCCGG